TATCTTTGAAGAGTTTTGGGAGTTATTACGTGAAAAAGGTCACTTTCCACAAGAAAAATTAAGTAACAAATTGTACGAGATCATCAGCTTTTAGAAGCTAAAAAGACGATAAACTTAATCAATTTTCTAACCGTCAAAAACATGCCCTTTTAAAAACATTATATTTTTTTATTTTTCACCTGATTCATCTGAGTAGTAGGGATATAAAGCACAGAATAGCCGAGGGTCGAGTCGTTCAAATAAAAGATGTCACTTCTATGCTCGCGAACGGTTAATTTAGAAATTCGAAAAAGATTGTTAAAGGTGTATGTTTGGAGCGCGGCGCTGTACGGGTGCGAAGCACGGACGGTAGGCGCGACGAAAAAAGAAAAGTTTGAAGCGTTCAAAATGTGGTATTACCGGCGAATGAGGAGGATACCGTGGATATAGAAGGCTAGAAATGAAGAGATATTACAACGAATAGAACAGTTAATAAAAAATAGACGAGATAGGTTGGTAGGACACCTTCCCAGGCATGAAGGTCTAGCCAGAGACATATCAGAGGCAGAATGGGGAGTTAATAGGGGTAGAGGTAGACCTAGATTAGATTACTGTTCGCAAATAGTTAAGGATGTGGGTTGTTCTAGTTTTAGGGAAATGCGAAGATTAGCTCAGGATAGGAAAGAGTGAAAGTGCGTATCTGACCAGTCTTAGGACTGACGACCTTATGTTGATGACCTGATTTTTATCATTTAGGGCCTATTTTGTTTCACGTATCAATTTTCAACAGCTTCACCAAATAAAATTTTGCTGATATGTCTCGTACAATAAGTTATTTACAATTTCTTGTTTTAAACCAACTTTTTTCACACCTTAATTCCACAAATCCCCTCAAAAATATGGATCTGAAATGACAGCGCAGTTTATACGTTCCCGTTTACAAGCACCCCTTTCTAACTTCGAGGAAAACAGTGGCGCGCGCCCATATCGATTTCAGGCCGACATCGGTCGCGATTCAAGGTCAATAGCGTATGAAAACCCCGACAAACCGTACTGTACACGCAACACGCGTCGCGACATTCAAGACGCCAAAACGGAAAAAACACAGCGATTATGCTGGGGGTTGATCGACGATAATAATGATTAGTAACGAGGATGAAACGTTTTATTTTTGTGCAGAACGTTTTCATTAATTTAAATAAAACGTTGGTTTAAGATGGATCATTTATACATTGTCTACCTTAGGGGTGAGGGAGGGGGTAAAGCGCCGTTTAGGGTCGGGAAAATTAATTTTAATTAAAAAGATGCGAAGTGGCAAACACAGCGACGATAAATTACTACTTATACAATATTTCTTTTATGCTTAAGTGGGCCATATCATACCGTGTGTTGTTTCCAGACACGCGGAAATATGAACATTTATCGGTCTATTATAAAGTCGAAAATGTAAGGGCCGAAATGTGTGGGCTTTTATGCAGCTGTCACACAAGGACACACGGTACAATATAGGGTACTTTCGCCCCAAGTTGCAATTTCATTTCTGCTGAAAGTTGATATATTCGTCCGTCTCTAGGAAGCCGAAAACACTTTATTTAAAATAAGACGAAGACGCACAACAAACCGAAACTTGCAAATAGACAATTTCACATCGTGTGTTAGCTATCACCCCAACTGAAGAGACGCGAATGTTCGAACCTTCGCGGGTCTGTAAGCGACACACGCTATAATTTAGGCCAGTTTCGCCCAATGGTACGTAATCTACCATTTCGTCCAATTTCTGCTGAAAGTTCCAACATTCGTCCCTCCATGTGAAGACAAAAAAACTATATTTACATTTGAAACAAAAACGCACAATATTTTCTAATCGATTATTATGCCAGTAAGAACGGCGAAAATTCTATTATCTGATTATTTCAAAAACTATCTTTCAGAAATTCAATTTATTTTGATTTATTTTACGGTAAAATGTCTGACTGGTTTTAATAAGAGGAAAATTCAATTTAATAATAGAAAGGAAAAGGACAATTATGCAACTAAGTTTTTCAAATTGAAAGAAATTGCGTTTTTAACCAACAATACTTTTAATAATAAGAAAATACACCTAACAAGTAAAACGTTTTCTTTCGTTTCCTTTTAACAACAAGATAATAAACATAAAACGCATTTGGCATACAGTGCGGTCTTTACATTCAATTAACAGCCAACTTATTTAACTTGTAATCGCTGATGGCTACAAACAATTATCATTAATAATCGTGGTAAACTATTTGTAGACTATAAGTATTTTTAATCACTAGAAATACAACGTACTACGTTGTGTAGATATCGCAACCATTTACGAATAATTCCCTAGTTTCAATTCGATTATTGGGTTAGGGTAAAAGGAGTGCGGTATTAAAGTAAAGACAAGATAAGAAATGAGACAACAATATAAGACAGGATTATAAAAACAGGATAATATACAAAAAATATGTTTAAGTATGGCTTCATGGTACCGACCCCAAAAATACCCTGTGTTCACTAGTATTCTACCTTTTTCTATGCTATTTTATTAATAAAATTAACAACAACAGAATAAAAAACAAGCAAATTTTCCATTGTTCGGAATTCAAAATTAAATTCTGGCATCGAGGAAGTAGCAAACTTGATGCTAAATATTTGAATGAATAAATTAATTGCGTAACTGTAAACAAAAGAAACAAAACACTGGAGAAATTCGCGCCGAGGGTTTTGTACCTTGCAAAAACACTATATAGGAAAGTCAGAAGTAAACAGAGCTTTAGTACTTGTACTTTAAAATGTACTTCTAGGCTTTTCAAGCGCCGAAATTCAAACCCTTATAAACTGCTTCGTAACGAATAATTCGAACGGTTCCATCAAGCTTTTTCAAGGTGTTTGAAGCAATGTCAAAGCGTTAACTGATGTTAAGTAACTAGAATTTCGAAACCCTTTTGTTTTAAAATCTAATTTTGACTTCATATGCTAAAGGACTTCAAGTAACGGTTATAGGCTTATGATTTGGGGCTGTTTTTGTGAAAGTTTTTCCAAGATCGGTTGTAGGTAGAATACTGTCTCAAGATACCTATTCGACTCGATCTTTTTTAAAATTAAAATAAAATAATAATATGTGGTAGTCGTACAATAATTAATTAAGACTTACAGACATAACTCACACACACACTCAGTAAAGTAATCCATTTTCCACTGTCAGAAATTTAAAATAAAAATTTAATTTTAATAAAATTTCTGGNTTTAATGTTTTGTATCCCTAGAAACTTTATAAATATATACAACACGTCCAGAAAACCTAATCCTTTGACAATTCAGTGCTAAAATAATGTTTCGCAGTTTTCAAAACATCTGCATTTTTGTTGTAATTTTGACAAAATAACACTTATTAAATTAAGGAAATATACCTACATACATATATTTTTCAAATTCTAATGAGATTGTAGGTAATTTAGCTTTTATTTCTTCAGAGATATAATATCTATTCGGACAATGTTGTTTCTTTCGTTTTATTGCAACCGCATTGCGCATCTATGTTTATAATAAAAAAAAAACTACTCGACCTTGCAGTTTTTACTGAACATACACAATTTTCTCAGAATTTCAGCATTCATACATCATTTAATTGTACCAACAAATGGTAAAAATCAATTTCTTGCGTCTATCAGTTCGCAGAATTTTTCTGTATAGATATTTAAATTTAACACCGGGTTATTGTAATTAAAATCACCAGCTAATAGTTGGAATGTTATCTATAACTATATACACAACAAACATTTATAAATACATAGATACAGGTACCTATAACAATAAATTATTATAAGCTGCAAAATTCCTTAAACTCAAAAAAAAGCTATTCGTTATAATTTTTTCAATGCCAATGTACTACCTAAGCACTTAAAATAAATATATTTGTTTCTGTATCAAAGTTTACGTTAAATTTGAATGTTTGCGTTTTATAAATACTTTTTTTTTTCAATAGTTTAGAATCAATATATTTTGTTAAAACGAAAAGATGAAAGTTCTAGAACGTGAAACATGCTTCCCTCTTCCCATTGAGGCCTCAGCGGCAAAGTTTTTTATTTTCTTAATAAAGTTATGCGTATAATTCGACAAAAATATTTAAAGGTCGCTCCTAAAAATATAACGACACCACTAATAATAAGAACACTCACCCAAATTACTACATACGTAAAAAAAACGTTAAAGATGCTTAGATAATGTTGCAAATTTTAAACAACACAGGGTAAGTAGCATAAAAGAATAACTTTTTTGTTATGGGCTCAGATAGGTATATTATTGACATCGAAATGTGTACAGTCTGTGTAAATTTTGGCATGAATTTCCAGACGCAAACAAAATTGGTATATTTCCAAAATATTGCAGCAGCCAAATAATTCTACATTTGAATTTGCGTTAATAAATATACATGGTGATAAGCACAAACGCACTAACACCCTGTACATGTCCCTAAATAATCATACTTTTCTACCTTGTAAGTACCATAATTATTGCGACCCTTTATAAAATACAAGGTGTTTTAAAGAAGTAGTTAATGAAAATAACAAATTAATTACTTATTAAGTGCATCTTTTTTGTAAACAATTAAAATAAAACAGGTGTATATTTACATATTTGTTCGATTAATTAACTGAAAGTACCCATTAACTTTGTACCATTTTTTAAATTTTAAATATTATTAAATACCTATATATTTACTTGTGAATTCCTTTATTTACTAGCCAATAAATAGTTCCTTTACTTAAAATGATTTCTTTTGAATACCATACAGTTATGAGTATTTTATTTAAATATTGACTTGTAACATCGATTAGGATAATACAACAAGGAATCGGTAACTTTCCACAGTTACAGACAAGACTGGTCCTGTACAGGTAGGTACTACAGGTATAACGCATACATAAATCATTAGTATTTTTAGTAGATACCAATGCAAAGCTTGCAATTAGAAAAGAAAAAGTGTTAATGATATATGATAATGAGGAACTCACATGAAAAACTGCCAAAAACGATGCTAGAAAACGGCCAGCATTTTACCAAACTTTTATTTTCAATCAAGGTTTCTCTCTCGTATGAATATGTTGATTCCTTTATAAATGGTACTTTGGTTCCGATTGAGAACAACGACGATGGATATTATACGCGAATGTTATTAGGTTATTACTAATATATTGTTTACAAAAAAATCGCGAACGTGATAGATACAACGAGACACTCAACGATAACGTCAAAGTTACTAATTTTAACTGAATAACTTATGTAAAGCCAAAAATTATTTTCAGACTGCTGCACAACATAAACACGAGAAGAAGTGTAGGCACTCGTCTATTTATGCGCGAATACGCAAGAAAAGTTGTAGTGCATTGACACAGCGCAAGTCACTAAAATCCAGTGACAACTAAAATGTACATGTTTGACTTGGATATACATTTATTTTAAACAGACAGCCAGACGACTAAAATAAAATAAAATTGATAATCAATTTAATTAAGAAATGAACTGAGGAATAAATAATTTAAAATTAGATTCACAATTATTAAATTACGAAGTTGTTAGTAGGCAACCCATTTAACACAAATAAATTTCCTTAGACTACATGCAAGTTCGGATGTTACAAAATGCGAAGAAAACAAATTTGTAATAATTATTGGAAATATATCCAAAGTTGAACTTAGTATTTAAAAGTTTAATAACGTTAAAAATCATTTTTCTGAAGTCTTTAGACTCCAGTACGCTCGTTTGTTTTTTAATAAATACAAATACCCCTCTGTTCGCTGGGTATATTCGACCAGCTACCCATGAACAAAGTTTGAGGGTCACTGATGTTCTTAATGATTATTTTTATATTACCTCCTACGGATATATGTATATCAAGGGAGGTATATAGCCAGACAACAGTTTACGGAATTTTGTATTTACCTGCTTAAAATACTAACGTAAATACAGTTATGTAGAAAACAAAGTAGACATTCAAACGGTTAATGTAAATAGCAAAATAAATAATATTGATCTAATTCAAAAAAATTAGATAAATTGCGCATTAAAATTGAAAACGAAAGTACATATTTTAAATTACTATTTTTCTTTCCTAAGAAAAAAATACCCAAAATTATTTAAGAATACCCAAAAAATATTTAAAAAATTAGTTTCATAACTATTTTATATGCAGTTGATAATCACTATTTTAAACCGTAACACTCAATATCTCTTTTCTAGAATTTTTCATGCCCTTTTACCTACTTTCATTGTAAGTACTCTATAAAATTGAAATCCTTATCATTACACCTCTTGTTGGATGATTACTTTTTTGAGGGGGAGATCTTTTAAGCTATCTGAACATTGTTAAACTTTGAAGAAAAAAACAATAAACATGATAAAAAACTCTGGAAAACAGGAAAGAGCTTATAACACTTTAAAAAGTTAGTAAAAAACAATTATACAACTTATTAATATCAAGTTTTGGGTACTGTATCGCCATCTATCGAAGTTAATAAAAATGTTACAAGTTATTAATATCGAGTTATGGGGCACCATACCGCCATCTACTAAAGCTAATAAGAATGTTGCAAGTTATTAATATTAAGTTATGAGTACTGTATTGCCATCTACTGGCATTTGCTACTAACTGTAAAAAGTTACTTTAATATCAAGAATTTTAAAGTAACATTAACAAAAATGTATACAGCGTATACAGTAAGATACGCATTTTAAATTAATAAGGGTGATTTTTTAAAATAATCGGTAAAAAAGGAGCAGCAGTTATTAACTGTTGCAGAAAATAATATATAAACAAGTAATCATTTTAAAAATTAGAAAAACTTAAATGTTTCACTCCCACCACATAAAAATGCCAGTGCAAAGCCGGAGGGTATGGTGAAGGAGCCTCGTGGGAATGATTAGTTTGGGACAGATAGATAAGACAAGCGAAGTGAAGATAGAATTGAAATGTTCCTGCCCTGGTATTTGCCTAAGCGATTCAAGGCAAACCACAGTAAAAATTTAGTAGAAAATCCGCTTTAATCCCCTTGCCCATTTGCACAAACAACCGCTTTGTAACCCTTTTAAAAGCAACGAAAATGTGCTTCCATTTAGTTTATTAAAACAAGATTAAACATATAGTACATACATTTACAATCACCTTTTCATATTTTTATAATAAAATAACACATTTAATAAATTTCACGAGTATTTATTTAAGACCTTTACAATTCATTAACCCTTGAAGGAGTCCTTTTCCTTACGTATGGCCGCCATGGTTAGTATGGGATCTTTGGAGTTTGCGTGCTTTTGTACAGAGTTTGTTACAACCCTCATAAATGGATTTATCTGTTTTTCTTCTGCTATTGTGGAAGGAACCTACAATCAAAATTACAAAATCTTTACATTATGACTGTTTTAAAAAACAATCTTACAGTTGGTTCCTCCTTGTTACGTTTCTCAGTTGCCCACTTTATTTTATCAAGAATCTTATCATTGTCTGGTTCAACAGTTTTGGCAAAGTTCAAATTTTGAAGGGTATATTCATGACCACAATAAACCCTCGTATTATCAGGTAAACCCCCCAATTTCTCAACCAATGCTGAGTACATTTGTTCGGCAGTGCCTTCGAAAAAACGACCACAGCCTGCTATGAAAAGAGTATCACCTGAAAAGTAATTACTTAGTGTACAGAAATAAAGTACACTCCTTACATTGATATTAATTAAAAAAAGAAAATAGAAGTAATTTGATACAATTAAATGGCACCTGTAAAGACTGCAGGATAATTATCAGGTGGTGTTAAATAATAACAAATATGACCACTGGTATGACATGGAGTAAACAAGCACTCAACATTAATATTCCCAATCGTAAACTTGTCTCCGTGTTTTACTTGATTGGTCACAGCTGGAATTCTTAAATCTCCGCCAAAAACTTGCAACCCTCTTTTACATTTTTTCACAAGATCTTCATTACCACCAGCATGATCCCTTAAATATTACTAAAACTTATTTTCTCTTCTTCCCAAAGTACAATCAGTGTTGCAATTGCAAATATCTTATATTTATCTAAGATAAATTACCAGTGATGGTGAGTAGTTAGAATTTTGGTGAGATTGACTCCTTCTTCAGTCACTGCTTGAAGAACAGAGTCTGGATCAACAGGGTCAACTATAGCTGCTTCCTTTGTTTTCTCATCGATAATCTAAACATTGCAACTTTAATATGAAAGTAATCACACAACCTTTAATATGTAAACTTACGAGATACATGTAGTTATCAGATAGAGCTGGTAACACTTTTACCTTCATGTTTTGATCTTGAATAATTACAGGAGAACTGTGAGTACCACGGAAACCGTTTTTACGAAAAGCTGATACTGCAGAAAATTAAAGAAGAATAAATAAAACATTAAGTGAAAACATTACAAGTAAAAATGTCATAAATGATTGATAATTGGTTAATTTTACCTACCTTTGAAATAAGCTGCAGTTAATGATGTTACTATCCCGTTCGGAAGATTATTTACAAGCGATCTTAACATTTCATATTACTTGAGGAACTTGATGTAAAAATTCATCAAAATTTAAATATTTTTCTTATTTACACTGCACTAAACAGATATAGGTACTATCGTTAACTACACTGTCTACACAATTGTTACGATAATAAGTTAAATTGTAAAGAACGCTTATTCACAAGAGAAGAAAGTGTAATATATAATTTAAATACTGTTAATTTATTGTAAAATTTCCACTTTACTATCTTTAATGTTTACACTTGTAGATTGTATTAGGCAATGTTGTCAATGTGATGGCGATACAGTTTTTTCTAATCCTTATTTTTTTGTAACATACAAATAATCCAAAGCAATAATTGTCATACCAATAATTAACTAAACATTTTAATATAACTAAATCGTTGGCATGGCATTATTGTTATTTACATATTTACAAAATACATTAGGTTGAAATACCGCACGTTCCAATAAAATTCGCCAAGATATGACAACCTTGTAATGGAGAATGAATGAGTATGAACGTTCAATTGATAATTGTTGTTGGTTGCGAATCGTAAACAAACATAACATTCTAACCTACAAATATAACATTGTTTTTACCTCTTTAAGTTTGTAAAAAGGTAATTAATAATCTAAAAAGCAGCGTAGTTTGGTGGTGTTTAAAACTACTGATTTCAGTAATTTATTGTAAATTAAATGAATCATTAGTAAAACCTTTTTTGTATAATGGAAGTGTTATAATAAGTATTTGGTCAAGATGATGTCAGATGAGTCTGAAAACGATGGAATTTATATAGAAAATAACTATGAAAACGACGTTTATTACAAAAAATATAAACTGCTACTAGACAGGTGTGAAGCAATTCAAAAACAGAATGAAAGACTTGTGTATAGGTAGTTGTATTCTCATTATGTAATAAGTGATTTGTCTAAATTAAGAATTATTTTTGTTACAGAATCCAACAAGTTAAGAAAATTACAAAAAGACGACATGAGCATGTCCAAGTACTAAAAGATCGTTTATATAGGCTCCATGGTGAGAATTGGAAAATCATACCAAACATCGAAATTAAAAAGGAAGAAGATACTGTTTATCACAATCCAAAAGTCAAACAAGAAAAAGTGGATGAATGTCAGTTGTTCATATGAACACCAAAGGATAATTTCTAATAACTTCTTCTCTTATTTTAGTTACAGAAGACAAACATGAAAAACATAAGCCTTTGAAGAAATCTAGTAAACGTAAAAGTACAAAAACCGATAAAGACCCAAATGCCCCAAAAAGGCCCTCCAATCCTTTTTTTCAGTTTTGTCAGGAACAGAGGCAAATTCTCATGGAACAAATAAATTCAGAACTTAAACCTGGTGAAGCAGAACCCACTAAGCAGGAATTAACAAGACAATTGGCTTTAAAGTGGAAATCATTATCAGGAAATGATAAAAAAGTGTATGTTGACATGTATGAACGTTCTAAAGAAAAATATGCTGCTGAAATGTCAGAATATATTATGAAAAAATAATATACATATATTATGACTGTGATTAATTCATTTATTTGTAATTAAAAATGCATAAAACGAGAAATTATTGTTTTTTTACAGGGCATTACATCCAATTTTGTTTGGTCTGAAGAATTTTTTTCATGCTTAATTGTACATTTTTTATTCTTTAATTTTGATGCAGGAATTGTGCGGGGAATTTTTAAAAACAAAATTGGGTGTATTACTGAGTTACTCCAATTAAATTTCTTTTTTTATCCTTTGAACGAATTCTTTTCTTCGCGAATAGTTGCCATCGTCTCTATAGGATTATTTTTTTTAGCATGCTTTTGAACAGATTTTATAATTACTCTCATAAAAGGATTAATGTCCTTCTCTTCAGCAATTGTTGATGGAACCTTTAAAATATACAAGTACTAGGTAATAAAAAAAAAGAGAATTGAAAAAAATTGTGAAAAAAGAAATAAGGAGGAGTTAGGGCAAAAAAGAAGAGAAGTTGCGTCCCTATACAATTAAAAAATCAGAATTTTACCGTTGGTTTTTGCATATTTCGTTTTCCAGTGGCCCATAGTATCTTTTCAACAATTTTTTCATTTTTTGGTTCAACAGTTTTGGCAAAATTTAAATTTTGCAGGGTGTATTCATGACCACAGTAGACTTTAGTATTTTCAGGCAAATTACCCAACTTTTCAATCAATGCAGTGTACATTTGTTGAGCTGTACCTTCTACAAATCGTCCGCATCCTGCTATAAAAAGTGTATCACCTACAATATAAATTGTTAAATAAGTTAGGCAACTTTTTAAGCAGTACTGTACATAAGTGCTGCATACTCTGATTACATATTTCAATAAAATATTTAAAATTTAAAACTTTAAAGCACTTCCTTTGTATTTAATATTAGTATACCTGCCTGTAAAAACTATTGGTTGGTCATCTTCTGAGGTCATAAAATAGCAAATATCACCAACAGTGTGACATGGTGTTGATATGCATTCGATCCTTATGTTACCTACGAAAATTAGGTCCCCGTGCTTAATTTGATCTGTAAGGGCGGGAATTCGAATATCACCACCAAAAACTTTTAACTTTTTCTTGGACAATTTTATAAGCTCTTCGTTGCCGTCAGTGTGATCCCTATTGATTGTTTTTTCACTTAATAAACAGACTTTTCTATTCCGGAAATAGTTTTATCAATCAGTCATATACATATGTACCTACCAATGATAATGAGTTACAAGAATTTTTGTTAAATTAACATTTTCTTCTTCTACAGCTTTAAGTACTGCGTCAGGTTCAACAGGATCTATAACGACTGCATCGTTCGTTTTTTCATCAATAATCTAAATTAAAAGTAATTACTGAATATACACTTAATAATAACTAACTTTAATGAGAACTTACCAGATACATGTAATTGTCTGATAACGCTGGAAGAATTCTTACCTTCATATTTAGATTTCTTTGTGATATTATTGGAAGGATAAAATACTAAAAATGAATTGAATTTAAAAGAAGAAATTATATTATCTACAAGTGTATCTAAGTATTATAAATATATAAGTAAGTTTTAAATATTATTTAGAT